GGGACGGATGGGCTCAACATGTACAGAATGCCTTGGTTGAGCTGCATTGCGACTCGGTGGACATCTCCGGATTGCGAATACATATACTGTATTGAGTTCGGCTGTCACCTGGCTGTTGTTTTTTTTTTGACCTGACACGCTGGACTATGAACTGGTTTTGTTGACCTTCATTCCGTCCCACAGGATTGGCCCTGGAGAAGGTGCGGAGAGCCTAGAGTCCCAGAGCCTGGCAGCAATTGAAGAGACAAAGAGAGCAAAGAGAGGTGCACTTGTAGAAACAACTCTGAGCGACCCGTGAGCACACTTTGCACAATTTCTGATTGGAAGGTATGCCGTGTGCCTCCCATTTGTCACCAGTCCATCCAAACTTCTTGACCAGTGTACATGCACTGGAGCAGGGGCCTTCACACGAGCGCATGCAATTCGTGCCACTCCAAGCTACCACACCCTTGGGCATATAGTCTCATCTCATCTCATCGTTCTTTCAATCTCTTCACATCTCTCTCCGGTGCAAACTCACCTTTCCATTTTTACGCTAGGCCATCGCTATTAATTATTAGTGTGGAGGTCATCGCTTCTAGGTTGGAGGCCATCGCTACTAGGGTGGAGGCTATTCAACTTCAATGTCCTTTCCTCATAGTTAGTGCGTGCCCCATCTTCGTCCCTTTTGCCCAGTCCAAAATTCAAGGATCGCATTCGCAACAACCTGCCGACATGAACACAGAGTGCAATTTTTTGGCATACTAGGACCTTAGGACATATATTAGGCTATAAAGATATATACACATATATTTGCATGTTTTTGCTACGTTTTGCCTTACATAACCCGTATGGACTGTTCAATGAGCGACCCGAAGCAGACACAGTGAGCCCCCGGTCGTCCGCCCCTGTCCGGCGAGGTGACACGCAGGCGGGTGCGCGGTGCTCTGCGCATTGGGGGTGAAACGTAGCCAGGATGTTGGTGAGAGATGCGGAGATGTGAAGGCATGAAGCATAGTGAAACATAGTGAAACTGTCGGGCTTTTAACAAATCCCTATTGGGTGTTTGGTCTTCGGTCCTTTTCCTCTGGTTAGTTTGCACAGCTTGCTGAGCAGCTTGCTGGTTTGTGAGGCCTTGGTTTGGACGGCCAAAGCACATGCCGAGAACCGACGCCTGGAAAGAGAGCTCAAGAGCCTTCGAGAGTTAGCGCATCGCCAGCGCGGGGAGGCAGAGAGCCATGAGAGATTGTTGCATCGGTTGGCCAAGGACATGTGGAATGAGTTTTGGATCAATTACAGTATATCATGAGTTGAAGACACATTCCTAATTGTCCCTATGCAAATTTCAGACATGTTGGGAAGTGGATCATCCCGAGCTGGCTGCTGTCGCTGGGCTTTTGATTGTGGATCTTCTCCCACGGAGCATCTCCACGTGACAGGTGGAGTGGCTCAGTGGGTTGAAGCAGCAGCTGAAGAGCAGCCGTCAAGAGGTGCCATGCTTGCGGGAAGAGTATGGTGAGGCCCCTAAGATCAAAGCACCTCGTACATCGTCGTGCTTTTTTTGAGCTTGGACATTTGCAAGGGTTCTGGGGAGGGTTTCATCCAAAGAGTTTCACTGCGGAGACTTCTGCTTGCCAGAGCCACGTTTGGAAAGGACATCCATCATGAGGACAGGATAATCAGAAGAAGCCAACAGAAGAATCATCAACTCAAAATGTCATTGAAACCTAGAACACCCTGTCTTAAACACATCAGCGACTAGAAGCCCAAGAGTGACATGACAAGCGACATCTAACTGTCCAGGTCCCTTTGTGTTTGTCGGAGTTTGGCCTTTGACAGAGCTTTTGGAGTTGGTAGGAACTCGAGAAGGAGCATCAAAAGTTGATGGAGATGCAGGAGGAGGAACACTTGCGTGAGGCCCTACACCTTTGGGACAAACACCTTTTGGGACTTTAGACATTTCTGCGGCCCTACTGTTGTTGGACAAACTCTTGCAACCATGGACATCATTTTCGATATCCTTTTCCTATGGTGTATGGTATTTTCCTTTTGATTGCTGTTTGGTGTAAGACTTGTCACCCTGGGGTCTTCTTGATTTGGTGCTAGGAAGCTGCAGCGGAAGAGGCGGCGATGCGGAGGCAGCAGCAGGAGGAGGGGCGACAGAGGCGTCTCGAGGCCTTGATGCAGGAGCCACAGATGGGAAGAACCGAGGCACCTCATGGTGACTGAAGAGTAATTCGTCAACGAATCGGTCGATTCGTGTGGTTTCTGCTGCGATTGAAGGTTCTTAGCATGGCTTGGCATGAGTTGTTGGATGCATCTATTTGTATCGCCAACAAAAACTGCGGGATGGAGGAGCGATCTGAGCGGCGGAGACGCGTGGAGCAGCGGGAAAAGGAGCTGCAGGAGCAAGAGATGGAGCAGGCAGGGTGCTACTGGGCTGTCATGGGGTGTGACTCTTTGATCTTGCCAGGGATAGGCAGGTCAAGGCTACATACTGTAGCTGACGCAAGCTGGACTCATAGAATCTCGAGTTCCTAGTAGCCATGGTTAGGTGAACACCCTTTTCAATCCAGACTGCACGGGATGCAGGAACGAGAGCAAGAGAGGCTCGAGAGGAAGGAACAGGAGCCTCTGGGTGTGACTCCGAACGGGGAGCGGCGTCGAACGTGTATTTGTTTCGATTCTAGATCCACGATTCTATTGGTTTTCTTGCAAATTTCTCGCTACTTTCTTGGATGCGCTTGACTTGGGGTTTTGTCAGACTTGGGGTTGTCGGACATACATACACAAGGCCTGCTTGAAGCGGATGTCTTCGGATGTCAATTGAGCCTCAATCACAATCAAAGAGGCTTAAGTCTTCTGGGCGTATGCACAAAATAACGGGAATAAACACTTAGAGGTTTAAAGGAACCATGAACAGACCCACAACAAGGGCTTGCAGGCTAAGAGGCTGCCTTCATGTATGGTGCCCTTCCAGCTGCCCTGCCACCTTTCCATGCTTGTGGCCGATTTTCAACCATGCACCCTTTGCTCCTAGTAGCTTCTTGTTCCCAGTAGTAAGGCCAGGAGCTACTAGTAGCGTCCTTGCTCCGTTCGTAGCGATGCCCTTTGCTCCTAGTAGCGTCACTGGTGGCCATGTTTTTGTATGCCACTTGTGGCTGTCAGGGTTCACCTCAAGACGATGCGAAACCGAACGAGAGGAGCTGCGCGAACGAGAGCTGGAGCTGCACAAGGAGAAGGAGAAGAGCATCCAGCAAGCTGAGGCACCGAGAGGTGGCAGGTTTGGAAACGACGATCCCTGGTGCCAATTTCTTGTGGGGGCAAGCTGCGAGAAACTCCATTGGAAGAGAAGCGCTTTTTTTTGTCCTGGTTCTATTAGGCTTGGGGCCGTTGCTAGTAGGTTGGAGGCCATCGCTAGGGGGTTGCAGGCCATCACTATTATATAGGTCTTCTTGGGACCTGTTGAAGCGCTTCGTGAGCAGAGAAGGTTTTTCCGGACAAAGCTTTGACCTGCCAGGCTCTGAGGGGTCGTGAGCTCGAGGTGGCCAAGGAGCTGGGCCGTTGGAAGGCGATCGGGGCTGGGCTTGGTCGGCAATACATCGCACTAGCTTCTTGTTACTAGTAGCGTCCTTGCTCCTAGTAGCAAGGCCAGGAGCCCCTAGCAGCGTACACGAGACTTCCGCTGTTGAGACTTCCTTCTAAAATTCTGGTGGCACGGCAGATGTCACTGGCCTTTCTGAGGCTCCCACTGTGATCTCCCCAAGCCATGCTTCGCATGTGGAGCCAGAGGCGGGGGGGAATCTGAGGGATGGAATGCAGGGCGAATGGAAAGTGACAATAAGTAACAAGTGACATCTCTTAACAAACGGGTTCTCATTTCAGTGTAATTCCTCTTGAGTCAACCATTTTTTGCTGGAACGCGCATTTGCAGCCCGGGTAAAGTTAATCAGCCAAGCAGAAATTGACATGGGATATCTTGCACGAAAAGGACATTTGCTCCGGATAATATGATTCTCTGACCCCTCTCCGCTCTAGCTGCCAGAGTCTTTTAGCCGTAGTTTTGAAATGCATGTTTGTTTTTTACCCAAACAGTTTACTGTTGGGGTTCTATCTTAGAAAAGAAGAGCTGGCCACACTCACTGGCCGCGCCCCTGAACTCTGTGGCTGGGCTCTGTGTCCAGGCCTTGTCCTCCTCTTGTCCTCTGTGGCTGGGCCTTCTTGTCCTCTTCTTGTCCTCCTCTTGTCCTTGTCTTGGCCGCGAACCTGAACTCTGTGCTGGTCTCTGTGGCCCGGCTTACTGGAGAGGATTTTTGACTAATATTGGTCTAAACGAACCGTTTTGAAGCTGTTTGGGGTCTATGCTTGTATAATTTTAGCTTATTCATGTTGATTCCTTTGTGTTCCCTTCACAAGAGAAAACGACAAACGAAGACGTTCCTCCGCTGCACCCGAATTCGACTCGACGTTCCTTTTGGGAGGAGGAGGCGGACGCGGATGCCGCTGAGGTGGCTGCACTGGTGGGAGAGCCGAGAGAGTTGGGACAGATCTTCCATGGCAGATCTTCGATGGCCTAGTTTCCACGGCTGGTCTGGTTGGTGGCTTTGTCATTCTGTTTGGTGAATTGATTTGGATTGTCTTGAGTTGCTGGGGCTGGATATGGTTGGTAGGCTACCCAGTCAGACGAATGGGGCGTTTGTTGATTGTTTGGCCTGCGAATGGTGTTGCCGATCGGTCGACCCTTCTAAGAAGCGCGAGGACAGATTTGAGTCCAGTATGGTCCAGTGGACAGTGGCAGGACATGCGCGTCATACCCACAAATGACAGCAAATGAATTTGCTTACCTGCCAAGGCGGCCGCCCAGTCACTGGAGAACCGGAAGCTCCGCCGCGAGCTGGAGAGCCTCCGTGCGCTAGCGCAATGGCAGCAGAGTGAGGTTGGCTGAAGCACGGAGGGAGCTAGCTTGGCATGTTGGGGCAGCACTGATGGGCACCTGTTTTGTTGGCCCGTATGCATTGAAATCGCTTGTAGTTGAACATCCGAACATCCATGAAAGGAAATCTGGACATATCTGGACATGGGTTTGGGTTGCATGGTGAGATGACATTTTCAGAGCGGCTACACTGAGTATACTCACTGAATTGGCCCAACCAAGCCTGCTAGCGCCCTTGCTCCAGATTTTGCGGCTCTTTGTTACGTCAACATGGCCCTTCCCATGAA